TCGTTATTACTTCGTTTCAGTTACGTATTACTGTTCTACACCTCCACCTGTTACTCTACACCTCCACATATTGCTGCTACACCTCACCTGTTGCTTTACACCTCCACCTGTTGCTGCACCTCCACCTGTTACTGCTACACCTCCACCTGTACTGCTACCTCTCTGCATTGCTTCTACACCTCCACCTGTTACTGCCTACACCTCCTGTTACTACACCTCCCACCTGTTGCTGCTACCTCTACCTGTTGCTGCTACACCTCCACCTGTTACTACACACTCCTGTTGCTTCTACACCTCCACCTGTTACTGCACCTCCCACCTGTTGCTGCTACACCTCTGCCTGTTACTTCCCTCCTGCCTTCTACACCTCCACCTGTTACTGCCTCCTGTTACTTCTACACACTCCTGTTACTGCTACACCTCCTGTTACTGCTACACCTCCACCTGTTGCTGCTCACCTCTACCTGTTACTACTACCTCCTGTTTTTGCACCTCCACCTGTGCTTCTACACCTTCTACCTGTTACTGCTACACCTCCACCTGTTACTGCTACACACTCCTGTTGCTGCTACACACTCTGTTACTTCTACACCTCCACCTGTTGCTGCTACACCTCTGCCTATTTACTGCTACACACTCCTGTTACTTCTACACCTCCTGTTACTGCTACACCTCCTGTTGCTGCTACACTCTCCTGTTGCTACCTCCTGTTGCTACTACACCTCCTGTTGCTGCTACACCTCCTGTTACTTCTACACATCACCTGTTGCTATGCACCTCCTGTTGCTACACCTCCTGTTACTGCTGCACCTCCTGTTGCTTACACCTCCACCTGTTACTGCTACCTCCACCTGTTACTGCTACACCTCACCTGTTACTGCTGCACCTCCACCTGTTACTGCTACACCTCTACCTGTTGCTGCTACACACCTCCACCTGTTACTGCTACCTCACCTGTTGCTGCTACACCTCCACCTGTTGCTACACCTCGTTCTGCTACACCTCCACCTGTTACTGCTACACCTCTGCCTGTTACTTCTACACCTCCCACCTGTTACTGCTACACCTCCTGTTACTGCTACACCTCACCTGTTACTGCTACACCTCCTGTTACTTCTACACCTCTACCTGTTGCTTCTACACACTCCACCTGTTACTGCTACACCTCCTTTGCTGCACCTCCTGTTCTGCTCCTCCCCTGTGTGCCTCGCTTCACCCTTTTGCTTCACCTGTTGCCTCTACCTGTTACTGCTACACCTCCTGTTGCTGCTACACCTCCACCTGTTACTGCTACACCTCACCTGTTGCTACACCTCCTGTTACTTCTCACACCTCCACCTGTTACTGCTACACCTCCACCTGTTACTTCTACACCTCCACCTGTACTGCTACACCTCCACCTGTTACTGCTACACCTCCACCTGTTACTTCTACACCTCCACCTGTTACTGCTACACCTCCACCTGTTGCTGCTACACCTCCACCTGTTGCTGCTACACCTCCACCTGTTACTGCTACACCTCCACCTGTTGCTTCTACCTCACTGTTACTTCTACCTCCTGTTACACCTTACACCTCCTATTGCTGCTACTCCTGTTTGCTTCTTACCTCCTGTTGCTTTCTGTTGCTTCTTTGTTACTGCCCTCTGTTACTGCCTCTGTTCTCTCACTCCACCTGTTGCCTACACTCCACCTGTTCTTCACACTCACTGTTGCTCTCTCTTGTTACTGCTACACCTCCACCTGTTACTGCTACACCTCCACCTGTTATATACACCTCCACCTGTTACTGCTACACCTCCTGTTACTGCTACACCTCCACCTGTTACTTCTACACCTCCACCTGTTACTGCTACCTCCACCTGTACTGCTACACCTCCTGTTACCTGCACCTCTACCTGTTACTTCTACACCTCCACCTGTTACTTCTACACCTCCACCTGTTACTGCTACACCTCCACCTGTTACTTCTACACCTCCACCTGTTACTGCTACACCTCCACCTGTTACTTCTACCTCCACCTGTTGCTTCTTTCACTCCACCTGTTACTGCCTCCTCCTGTTACTGCTCTCTCCACTGTGCTGCTACACCTCTACCTGCTGCTACTCCTCCACCTGTTACTGCTACTCCTGTTACGCTCTCCACCTGTTACACCTCTGTTACTGCTACACCTCCACCTGTTGCTTCTACACCTCCACCTGTTAGCTTCTTCACCTTGCTGCACTCACCTGTTGCTGCTTTGTTTTCTCTCCTGTTGCTGCTCACCTCTCCTGTTACACCTCCACCTGTTACTTCTACCTCCTGTTACTTCTACACCTCCTGTTACACCTCCACCTGTTACTGCTACACCTCCTGTTGCTTCTCCTGTTACTTCTACACCTCCTGTTACTGCTACACTCCCACCTGTTACTGCTACCCTCCTCTCCTCCTGTTACTTCTCCCCCTCCTGTTACTGCTACACCTCCCTGTTACTTCTACACCTCCACCTGTTACTACTCCACCTGTTACTGCTACACTCTACCCACCTGTTACTGCTACACCTCTACAAAATTACACTTTTAGGTTTGTCCGTGGTAGTTCAAATACACAAGGTTAATTTGGTCAGTATTTTGGGGTGATTTTATACAGAGACATATATTAACTTGCACACGGTTGGCGACAAACAATACCAGATGTACCCAATTTGCCAGGTTGTGCAGGTTGTACCCAGATTTGTACCCAGATTTGTATCCAGATTTGTACCCAGATTTGTACCCAGATTTGTACCCAGATTTGTATCCAGATTTGTACCCAGATTTATACCCAGATTTGTATCCAGATTTGTATCCAGATTTGTACCCAGATTTGTACCCAGATTTATACCCAGATTTGTATCCAGATTTGTACCCAGATTTTTACTATTATAACCAATTAAATTCTGGACATCCATATTTCGATAAGCCTTGTATATAACTCTCTCTAGTACCTCCACAGACACAGACACACACACACATATATATACAGGTATATATCATGGTATTACTAGAGTTTATCCACCCTTTAATTTGCGATTATCTCTCTCTCTCTCTCTCTCTCTCTCTCTCTCTCTCTCTCTCTCTCTTTAACCCCTTAGTCCTTACCCGCAATCATGTTTACGAAAAGTGGTTTACGTCTTTAGGTGTTGCAGCCAGAGGAGGAGAGGAGAGGGAAGGGGAGATAATTATAGTGATTGTAGGTCTTTAGTAAAGCTACACACTATGTTCATGTTTCCCCTGAGAGCAATAGAAAACACAAGTAAACAAAGGGGAAACAATAAAAAAATAAAAACCTAAATCCGGCTCACAGACCTGATTTGAGGGGGTTCCCGGGTTCGATGGGGGGGTCGAGGATTTGGTGGTAGGGGTTCAGTGGAATTTATTGTGTAACTTTAATGAATTAGCTAAAGGTATTCCTGAGGCAGAGTTGAGCACTAATGAGTCGTGAGAAGGTCAGGGTATTAGCGTTATGTTGTAGTATTAAAAGGTAAATAAAACTGTATTTTTTCCTTGTTTAATTATATGTCTGTCTCTCCTTTCCTCCCGCCCACACGTCTCTTTCCCCATGTTTCCCCTCCCCCACGTCTCTCCCCTCCCCCACACGTCCTCCTCCTCCCCACGTCTCTCTCCCTTCCCACACGTCTCCTCCCATGTTCCTCCTCCCCACACGTCTCTCCCCCCCTCCCCCACACGTATCTCTACCTCCCCACACGTTCTCCCCCTGCCCCACGTCTCTCCTCCCCCACGTTCTCCCCTCCCCACCCACGTCTTTCTCCCTCCCCCGTCTCCTCCCCATGTTCCTCCCCTCCCCCCCACACGTCTCTCTCCCCTCCCCCCACGTCTCTCCCCCACACGTCTCCTCCCACATGTCCCTCCCTCAAATAAATATATCCCCATTGCAGTAACCACGGTCAGTAATCCTGTAGACATTTCTTAAAGATGACCAGCGTGTAATACAAGTCGTTCTTTTAGTCTTATACCAAAGTGTTTCAGGTTAATCTGATGTGTGCAATGACTATACAGGTCGAGTCCTAATTGTGATAACCGAACGTATCTTTCTGAGACACTTCAATACACAAACACACACACATCCACACACACACACACACACACACACACACGCACATGCACACATCTCGTCATCCCCTCTCCCTCCCTCCATCCCAGAGAATTTTCCTGAGATACTCTGAGAGAATTGTATTACAGAAGACAAGAACATTGCTACACATTATTTACTACCACGACGAGAACCCACCCCCTCCCCCTGCCAAAAAAAACAACAACAACAAAAACGACATAAAAAACAACAACAAAACAATATTACCACATCACTTGTCTATTAGTGGTCAGATTCCTCTATTCTCAAGCGAGATTTACGACCATAGGGGAGAGGATCGGATCTTACTACTGTCAATTCCAATTCCTCTCCAAATTGCAGGGAATCTTCTACCAGCCATACATGTCACTTTCTTCCCCCCAAAACTCCCCTTCCTACACCAAGGTATCGAGGAACCGTATGTCCGGGTGAATTTGGGGTGATATTTCTTAGTATCGATTTGGGTTGGGTTCCATTGGGAGAGAGAGAGAGAGAGAGAGAGAGAGAGAGAGAGAGAGAGAGAGAGAGAGACGAATATTGAAAAGCATGAAGAGTGGATGGGATGAAAGAGAGGAATCGAAAGTGAGAGGGGTAGGTGAGAGGGATGAGAGGGCCAGGCGAGGATCAACAGCTACAGAACGAGACAGTCAGGAGATAAATTTGGTTATTGTTGATTCCCGATTTTGTCTCTTTTTTTTTGCTTTGTTATGAGGAGATGGTGATGCTGTCTTAACACACACACACACACACACACACACACACACGCACACACACACACAGTCAGTCAGTCAGTCAGTCAGTCAGTCAGTCAGTCAGTGTATCTATCTATCTATCTATCTATCTATCTATCTATCTATCTGTTATTTCTCAGTGTCTATTTTCTGGGGTTGGATTATTAGTTAGGTTAAAGTTTGGTTAGGTTGTGTTCAGGTTAGGTTTAGGTTAGGTTAGGTTATGTTAAGGTTCAGGTTAGGTTAGTTATGTTCAGGTTAGGGTTTAGGTTAGGTTAGGCTAGGTTATGTCTATGTTAGGTTAGGTTATGTCTGTGTTAGGTTAGTTATGTCTGTGTTAGGTTAGGTTAGGTTTCCTCAAGCGTAGATCTCCAGAGACACACACAAGGCAAAAATATAGGTGTAGTATATGGGGTGCTATGCTACAGAGGCTGCGGCAGGAGGGGAAGACGAAGCATGAGTAGGAGGAGGAGAGGAGGGAAGGGGGAAGGAAAAATTGATAAAAAGGGGGAAATAGAAGAAAAATCGTATGGAGAGAAAACCCTTGGCTGACGCACGAGAAATATGTTATAGCGTCTCTTCATCCTTCCTCCGTCTATCTCTCTTTCTCTTACCTTTCCCTCTCTTCCTCTCTATCTCTCTCTCTCCTTCAGCCCCCCCCAGCATCACAACAGCAAGGATTAACACCAACTTAAAACATGCTAGGACCGGAGAGCTACTGTACTTGGTCAGACTCTTATTGGGGGAGACTTTGAAGATTAGACACCCCATAGGATCACTTGAAAATTAGACACCCCATAGGATCACTTGAAGATTAGACATTCCATAGGATCACCTGAAGATTAGACACCCCATAGGATCACCACATACATAACCTGCAGATAGAAAATAACATCACATGACCATCTACACTGACGGCTCTCTTAGCACTGTCTGTGGGAGGGCTGGAAGTGCTGTCATTGTAATGTACTGTAATAGAGACGGGAGCTAGAATTAATAACAGGTCATCTACTCTACAAACTGAACTATTTGTCAAACTCACAGCCCTGAAACTTGTTGAAGACACTGCCACTGACAGTCTCATCATCACTGACTCCATATCCTCACTACTTGCTCTTGATTCCCTAGGCTCAGATTGTCACCCGCTTGTCACTGAAGCCAGACACAAGTATATGTGTCTTGTTGACGGGGGGTCAGGATCAAGCTGCTGTGGCTCCCCTCTCACATAGGCATTAGTGGACATGATAGAGTTGATGACTTAGATAAACTCGTGTCCAACAATGACAAAGTTGAGTACAATCTGGGACTGTCAACCAGAACCTTAAAAACTGTAATCAGGAAAGAGCTTTCTGATAAATTTGAAGCCAATAGACAAGTGTAAACAGGCACTAGTCAATCCATTGTTTACCATGATGAGATGTATCAAATGAATCATGTATATGGAGCAAGTAACAAGATCACTAGATTACAAGATGTTGCAACCGCTAGATTAAGGTTAGGATATAAGTACCTCTGGCAGTATGTTCCTCAAGCAGATGTAAACAAAACTAAATATAAAGTGTGTGGCCAGACATATGGCCACACACTCCAACACTATGTCTTAGACTGTGAAAAAATAGAACCTTATAGAGATAGAACCAAGCACACTGTGTATACAATGGCACAGCACTTTATCTCTGGTGACAAGATAGCTGATGTACTAAGGCTGTATCCACACTTGGCATCTAGCACCTAATTAAAATTCCATGTACCGACTTAAACAAACAATATACTGGAAATACTCTGTAACACTAACCGCCACAATATCCTGACCACTGGGGCCTGATACACACCCTTTGTGGCCTCTACTCTGTAATCCTTTTTGCGCTACCGCTCGCAGGATGAGTATGGGGTGCACAATAAACTAGCTGCTGTCCGCGGTAAAATTCAAATTCAAATGAAGATTAGACATCCCATCTAATTTTATTTGAAGATAAACTAATCTAACATAACCTGCGAGGGATTAGATTAAGTTAGGTTAGGGTAGGTTAACGTTAGTTTAGGTTAGATCAGGGTTGGTTAACATAGGTTAATGTTAGGTTAGGTTAATGTCAGGTTCATATTAGGGTGGTTAATCTCTAGATGAAATAAACTGGGGTGTCTAATCTTCAAGTGAGGAATGATAGCCGCCTCTCCTTGGGGAAATCTGCCATGTTGATATTCAGTGTGATGGATGGTGTGTGTGTGTGTGTGTGTGTGTGTGTGTGTGTGTGTGTGTGTGAGAGAGAAAAAAATTGTGTGTTTTTGTGTGTGTGTGCAGTCAGATTATCCTGGAAGTGTCGACAGTATTGAAGTTGTGAAATCATAAACCATACACATACACGGCCAAACACACACACACACACACACACACACACACACACACACCATGCTGATTGTGCTCTAATTAGCAATGAAGTTTGTTGCCCAATAATACAATTTCTGTGTCGTCTTAACTGCCTCGGGAAAATATTACAAACCCAAATAAGAAATATATTATTGAATTAACGCCGTATAGTAGTTAGGTTAGATTAGGTTAGGTTAGGTTAGGTTAGGTTAGGTTAGGTTAGCGTCCACCCACCCACCCTGAGGCATTTACTCACTCTTATCAGGGAAATACCCCCCTCCCCCCCATTAGCCTAACCATTAACCAGGCTTATTATGGTCGTCACTCTTACCTCTAACTACCAGATAAACATTTACAATCGCCCTGTACCACCACCTTCCCATTTTCTTTTAACATTCATTGAAAATAACACAAAGAGGAACTAGTGTTGTGTTCTGGGGGTTATGAATACGGTAAATTGGTGATTTTTTTGTTGGTGGTGTGGGTGGGTGGGGGTGTGGGGTGGTGTGGTGGGTGGGTGGTATGGTGGGTGGATTGGTGGTGGGTGGGTGGGTGGTGGGTGTGGGTGGGCAGGTGGGTGGGTGGTGGTGGGTGGGTGGTGGGGGGGTGGTGGGGTGGGGTGGGTGGGTGATTTGGGTGGGTGGGTGGTGGGGGTGGTGGGTGC